ATATATACCTAGCACATTATGAACTACTGGATGTTTAATGAGCAGCAATAAACTACATTTTAGCATTTTAGAATGCCTAGTCATAAGTCTGTGGATATTTTGGTGAAAGTAACTCAAAAGTAACTCAAAAGTAGTGTAACGCATTACAATTCAGAGACAGTAATATTGTAATGTAACTAATTACTTTCAAAAGACAGTAACTAGTAATATATAATGTATTACATTTTGGAAGTAACTTGCCCAACACTGGTTATATACCCCTGTCTTGTACCCTGTAGTTTTTTTTTGTTAGTTTTTTCTTCTTCTCTTTTCTTGTTTTTTTGTTTATTTGTTCTACATTGTGACTGCTTTTATCTCTGTCTATATAATGTTCTTAAAAAAAAACAAAAAACAAGAACAAATGCACTTATCTCAGTTAGCAGATGATACAGTGCTGTTCTTGAAAGATCACCATCGGTTTAAACATTAGCAAATGTGAATCATTGTCCATTAAAGACAGTCAGTTACAACATATTGCTGAGATCCCAGTGAGGGAATCAGTGACAAAAGGTCAGAAATCTAGGTGTGAGTTAAATTTTGATCCCATTCTTCAGAAGACCAAGGCAAAGTTGAATCACTGGCTTTTGAGGGATATTTGTCCCTAAAAGGAAGAGTTTTGTTGTGTAAAGCTGAGGGTCTGTCAAGATTAGTTTATGCTGCACTTCACTCAGTGTTTCTAAGGAGACGTGTAAAGCTATTTTTTCCTTGGAGAAACAAAACACATTCTATCAGAACATCTACAATTATGAATACATATGTACCAGGTGGTTTGAATGTCTACATAACACTTTGAACATTAATTGGATTAGACATTTTATTCTAAACCCTAAACAATTATTCTTCCTTAATAAAAAAAAATGTCTTGTTTTATTACTAAACTTTTATTTTTATTTTTTATTCATATAATAAGAAAGCAATTAAGACAATGTTTATCTGTATTATTGCAGTTCTGACAGTATAATGACTATGTCTGTTCTGTTCTTAAATTTTAATAAAAAATAAAAAAAATGTAGGGTGGGACTTGATTTTGTCCATTGGGAACTGACTGGCAGTAAACACACCAGAGAAGAGAAAAGATGTCACTGCAAGAAGGAGGGGAAGTTATTCTGTTTAAAGATTACAAAGCACATGAAATAAAAAAAATAAAAAATAAATAAATAAGAGCATGCAATTAGTCTGTCAATACAATGCATGTGAAAGTTGCATTCGTTATTATTCATCATGACACTCTTATAGGAACAACCATCTGGAGGCAAAACAAGTCAAGTATACACTTGATTGATGATGCATACTTGCCACCTGCCCCATTAAATATGGGATCGTCCTGTATTTAAAGTTGAAATTATAGTTATGTATCATATAAACATGGCATGTGCTTTATACATAGGCCTTCAAATAATTTAATAAATATATAAAGACTTTGCAGTGTGGAGAATAATAACAGCAAATCAGTTTCACAATAAGTAGCAGAGAAGCTCATCTGCACACATGATTGCACTGAAGCATCGTCGCTTCCGTAGATCATGTGCCATAACCTTCTCAAGTCAGCGCATGAAACACAAGATTCTCTCCAAGGCTGAATGGTAACAATGGGGGGAAAAAAACGAATCAGGAAAAAAAACAAGAACAGGGAAGTATGGGGGCGATGAGTTGGCAGGCATGAGACATTGTCACTACTTCAAACTGTCAGGGATTCATCACAGTCACTGCAGTCACCAGCCAGGATAATCACCCGATCACAGTCACCTGAGTTCTGATCACCCGCACCTGCTGTCACCAATCAAGCCACACTACAAATACACACACATCACAGTCACTCACTGTCCGGTCTACCGTTCACTCCTATGGACTGCTCTGGACTCTCTATACGATATTCTCCTAGAAAGACTTACCTTCTGGTTCTCCCGCGATCCTCCAACGACTCCTTGGAATCTGTTCCACGATCTACTACGAAACTGGCATAAGATACTCACCCTCTGGACTCAGATAAGAACCCTGGAATCATTCCCTCTGTTGACACTCACCTGCCTTAACCTAACCCGTTCCATTCCTCTACATCTTATATCAATAAACCATCCTGTCTTTCACTTACCTGTTGTGTCTGGCCTTGCTTTATGACACAAACACTTTGGGAGTCAAAGATAAATATACAGCACCTGCCAGTATTTTCTTTATAGTACATTTCTATGGGAAAATGCTAAATCATAATTCCCATCATAAGAGGCCACTATAGAATTCACACCCTCATCAAGGTTAAGGTTTGATTGCTTTAGTTAAAATAGTTAACATAGCACATACAGTATTTGCATTCAAACACAATAAGGGAAAAGATTACTTGTCACTACACTGACTAGCTGACTTAGAATGGCAATAGTTCCTTAAAATTGGCATGATTGTCTTTTCTTCCATGTTGGCTAGTTGCATATAACGGCCATGTTGGATTTCTGGTCTAGTGAATGTGGGCATAGATACTCTCGGTTTTGCTAAAAACACAAGTGCAGAGAGCCAGAGAAACCCGAATCTTACCTTTGATATATGTTTACAGGATCTATAATATTATCAATACTAGTAATGTTAATTGAGCCAGTGGCATTTGAAGCTTTACATATGTTTGTTCATCAGGTGAATGAAATATATAATCCGTATTTGACTTGAACTCATGGTTTGTACTCATACACAATGTCCTGTTCCCTTACCAATTATGTACATGTACAAATTATTGTAAATATACAAAAAGCCTAATATAACTAAAATACAAATTTGCAAAACAACTCCTAAAGATGCACGTATGCGCTACTTATAGACACCAGACAGATAATGATTTATGCAAAATATGCTCCTAAACTAATTTGCACAAAACAGATACATATTAATTGATAAAAACTATGGCTTTCAGTCGATTAATCGCACAATGGGGTGATTAATTAATCTAATTCATAGCATATTAATTGCACATTAAATTTGGCTGAGAAATTACCCACAAAAGATCATTTTAAGCCATCCTTGTGTTACATGAGAAAAAGCAAGAAATAAATATCACAAAAAGTAGCTTTACAATTTTTTTTTTTTTCTTTCTTCATTTTTAATATTTGGGTGAACGATCCATTTCATTTGTTTTTTATTAATATGGATTTTTTTCCAGATTTTTTTATTAATTAAATCGACTGGCCTAATAAAAACATACGTACAAACACCAATCTTTTGACTAATGCAAACCAACAATAATTAAATTATGTTCAATTATACAAATACAGTTATAAATAAGGTTACCAAATAAAGTTAATAAAACATACATTGAGTCCATAATGCATGTTGAAATCTCTGAGCATCTCGTTTGACAGCCGCAAACATATGATCTTATAAATATGATTATCATAGATAGAGTTGTTCCATGCAGAAAAATAATGTATGGTAATGTGCCCCATGCAATCAGAAAAAACTCTCCGAAAATGTTTTAGTTACTGCAACAAAAAAATAGTCATGTAGTCCCAACAGCAATTAACAGAGTAGCTTCAATAGAGACAGCCATAACATTTGTATTCTTTCTTTTCTCTAGGGAAATGTGATGTGAAATATGAGCTACTAGAAAGTGGATCAGAATCAAAGCCTTCTAAGAAGAAGATTTGTGCTCTGAAGATATTTTATTTTTCTTGCTCTTTATTTGTGTTTTTCTTTATCATCTTCATTTATTTAGAAGATTCCTCTAAAGCACCTTTTACCCAACGAATCGGGCAAAACCATAAAAGTAAAGACTCTGATCTGCCAAATCTTCTCCCAAGCACACATTTGCCATTCGTCCAAACACCACACATCCACCACACATCCGCCAGTCCTCCGTCTCCAAAGGCGTGTGGTGTTCAAGTGAAGGACGGGCCTGTGATTAAAGTTGGCCATCTTAACACATATGTGATCGGCTCTTATGTGGATCATCGTTTCAGAGAGAAACAGATAAACACGATCGCCATTGTTCTCCGACATGAGCAGGCGACGTACAGCTGTGTGATGTGCTGCGATGGGAGGAACGTGACGTCGAATGCAGAGTACTCAATTCATTCTGACCACTTCAACTTTGAATACGGCACCGCTACCATCACGTGCCCAATCAACAGCATGTGTTTGACACTGACGCACGTTGCAATCACAGCCAGTGGTGTCTTGGGTAGCGTAACATCCTTTCAACCTGTTAGAAACAGAGACGTTCCAACAACCTTCCCGTATGAGTTTACAATCTGCATCTCTGTCATGTACGACTACAAGAGTGTGTTGAATTTAGTCCAGTCCATGGAGATGTTCAGACTGCTTGGCGCTCAAAGGGTGGTGATTTATAAAACCAACTGCGATTCAGACACACAGAAGGTTCTGGACTACTATGAGAAAATCGGTTTCGTGGAGATCATCCCGTGGACGATTAAAAAGCACATCGTCGTATCTACAGGCTGGAAGATAGATATATCACCAGGTCAGCTGCATTACTATGGGCAAATCCCTGCGCTTAATGACTGTGTTTATCGTTACATGTACCAAACTCGCTATCTGGCTCTACATGACATGGATGAACTCATTCTGCCTTTCAAAGTGAAAACCTGGACGGAGCTGTTGCCTGAGCTTGAGAACACGTACGGTACTGATGTGGGCTTTGAGTTTGAGAATAATTATTTCCCGTTTTCTGCAAAGCCTCACGTGGATCACGACATAGACAAATGGAAGCATGTAAAGGGAATAAATATTTTAAATTATATCGATCGAGTACCCAACATCCCCAATGCTTTCAACAATTACAAGATTATAGTAAATCCTCGTCTGGTTCAGAAGACTACTGTCCATGGCCTGCTGGAAAGTGTGAACGGAAGCCCCACGGTCCGGGTGAATAATGCCATCGCTCGCATGTACCACCTCAAAAACTTCTCGTACCCACCAAACACAAACCTTATAAGAGATGATCATCTCTGGGACTACTCCAATGATCTTATACCAGCTGTTTCTAAAGTGCTACAGGCCTGTGGACTCAATGAGGCCTAGATAGTAAAAATAGTGTGTCATATAGTGTTTCTGTGCTCAAATGACTGTAAGGAAGGACTGTGATTCATTAGTTTCCACCTGTTGCATTAATCATCTTATTAATCCATCGTTTGGTTTTGTATAAATAGCCCTGCCTTTCCTCAGTTTGTTTGTCCTGTCTCCGTCGTGTTAAGAGGTTGTTTTCTCCTGTTTCTCCCACATGGATTTATTAAAGACTCTGTTCGTTTGACTAACTGCCTCCGTTGTACTCCTTCGAGCTCCTTCGCCTGGCAACCCGTGACAGAAGACAGGACCAAAAAAAAAAAAAAGAAAGTAAGCGGCGCCCCTTCTCCCCGTTTTTGTTTTCGGTTTTTGAAAGTTTTTCTTTTCCCTGTTTATTCCCCCTGCGATCATGGAAATCAACGCTTATTTCGCTGCCTTAGCAGAGATCTCCCCTTCGGGGAGTACCCTTGGGAATTCTGCGGGCTCGCCGCGGCGACGGCTTTGGACGACGCCACACTAAACTCACTGTTCTGGATCGGGGCTAATTACTATCGCCCCGTGGACCTCCCAGACACCACTGGACTTAGCTGGAGGGAAGGGATCCTCCGGTGCCTGGAGTGCGTCCAGCCCCGATCCAGAACCAGCTCGCCGTGAAGGCCGCCGATGATTCAGCGCTCTTGGATATGGCGCTCCCTCCAGAGTTCTCGGCCCCTATCCTCTCTCCAGAGTCCGCTCCAGAAAGCTCTCCTTTGTCTCCTGAGTCTCCTTCGCCTCCGCTGGTCCCGTCCAGCCTTCTTTCGTCTCTTGAGCCCCTTGTGTTAGCGAACTCCGCTCCTCCAGAGGCGGCTCCTCGAAAGCGCCCTCCAGAGCGCCCTCCAGTGACCGCTCCTTGTAAGCGCCCTGCAGAGCGCCCTCCAGTGTCCGCTCCTCGTAAGCGCCCTCCAGAGCGCCCTCCAGTGACCGCTCCTTGTAAGCGCCCTGCAGAGCGCCCTTTTTTTTTTGGGGGGGGCATAGGCCTGTGGCCGTGGTGGCCGAGTCAGCTAAGGTCACAGAGGATCCGCTATGGTCTCCTGAGTCCCCTGATCCACCATGGCCTCGTGGACTGCCTGATCCGCCATGGCCTCCTGAGTCCCCTGATCCGCCATGGCCCCCTGAGCTACCAGCTTCGCCATGGCAACCTGAATTGCCTGCTCCGCCATGGCAACCTGAATTGCCTGCTCCGCCATGGCTCCCGGAGCTCCCTGATCCGGCTC